CTCTCAAAGCACACAAATCCAATTACTGCTGGGAAATTTCAGTGATAACTTGGGAATCTATAACTTGAGTCTGTTGAGTCTGCCATGACAGACTATCTAAAAAGTCAGATTACTTCAAATTTAGTCTGTATTATGGAATATTTCTGATTCAGTACTTCAGCTCCATAGAAACTTGGTGAAAATACCAAGTTTAATGCAAAGTCTGATATTTTAAGTATAATATTTCTCTTGGATACAGGTATGTGATGAGCCTCATCCTCTGCTAGTGAAGGAAATGATACAACACTGCATAAATGCAAATATTGATGAAGCATACAAGGTTGGTTTTATGTCTTGTCTTTGGTATAGTCAGGCATTACTTCTCTACAAAATTTTTTGTTTGCTTTGAGGAATTCAAAATGTATATTGTTTTTTATATTGTTTTTTTAAGAGAAGGGCAGTACCATGTAGATGAGTTGATAAACTAAATCCCTTCTGGGCAGGAGTTTGTTCAGATAAATAAGCCAAGAAGCAAAAAAGGAAGTTGTAGTGAAATTAATTGCTAGATGCTTGAGGTTAAATCAGCTGATAAACAGTACATGCAATTTCAGTAATTATATACAGCTGTTCCAAAAGTGAATATCCTTGACTCACCTGGCAGATAAATGGGGGATTATTCTTGCCTGCACAGATTCTTGCCCACCTGTGGCGCCTTGGATACTCTCCAGAAGATGTCATTGGCAATATCTTCCGTGTGTGTAAGACCTTTCAAATGCCCGAATATCTGAAACTGGAATTTATCAAGGTTGGTACTAACTCAGCTCCTGATGGGGCCTTTTGGGTCTTTTTAAGAAGAGAATGTGATTAGGGGCAGCCTTAGGGGTTTCTGTTTAAAATTCGTTGTATGTTAGCACAAAGAAAGTGCTTCTTGACTCATTACTGCTTTCTTTCCCACTGCATCATCAGTTTGTCAGTGAGAAGTCACCTGAAGTTTAGCATCTCAACACCCACAGAAGTGCCAGAAGTCGCTTTAGTGATCAGCTAAAATTAATAGCAGATGTAATGCTGAATTTATTGGTTATTTCAAAGCCTCAGATAACTCCTTGAAAATGTTTTTCAAGTGCATACTTGATTCTAGTCCAATAGATAGTAAAATATTAAATTAACAGAGAGTTGACAAACAGCTGGTGTTATGGAATCACTCTTCATATTTGAAACCTGTCCTAATATGCAGGCACCTTGCTTCTTATGAATGAAGTGGGGAAATACAGGCTTTGATTTTAAAAAGAAAAGGCATTTCAGTTGGTTTATAGGAGTAGATGCATTCTCTGAAGTACGAGTGACTCAAAGCTGGTCTTTCAGCAGTAAGGGGTATGTTCTGTTTAGTCATTAGTAAAATATACACAGACTGGGGGAGTAAACAGAAGGCTTGACAATGTCTCTGTCACCAGGAAATTGGGTACACCCACATGAAGATAGCAGAAGGTGTGAACTCCCTTTTACAAATGGCTGGGCTGCTGGCCCGGCTGTGCCAGAAGACTGCAGCCCCTGCAGCCAGTTAGGCACCTCCTCGAGCCTTCTGGGAGGAAACCAGGTTTTGCTGCAAAAATGTTTCATACTTTTTTATGTAGACCAATAAAGCTCTAAAATTTACTTTAACCCACGAAATTGTATGTGTTTTATAAGCAGGATAGAAGAGAGGACTGTGGCAGTCCAGAGCAATTGAGGTCTGTCCAGTGCACTCAGCAAAACTGCTTATGTCCTTGGTATTGAGACCTAAGCAGGAGAAACAAAAATGGAATCCTGTTGTTAGGGATTACACTTCAAGCCTGGTCATGAGTGATCTCAACAAGACCAAGAAGGAATTTTTTTGCACAAAATACAGCATTTACTGAAGTTATAACTGAGACACATTCAGCAAGTGCTGCTTTGTCCTGTGGACAGGGAAGGTATTTTCACCAAACATACAGGAGAAATATTACACATTTCTTAATGATGCCACTGTATTTTGTATAATCCTTTTGTAATCTTAAAAAAACTTTACTAAATTCTGGGATGCTCTGCATTTGAGTTCCCTTTCCTGTCCCTGCTTGTCCAGGTTAGGTAATATCACAGTTTCAGCCTGCCAAAAAGCTACAGAATCATGTTTGCCTGTCCAGTTTTGGAAACACCTTGCCAGTGTAGATGGACAATTAAGTGTGAAATGAAGAGAGAAAGTAAATATAAATAGAATTTGACCACCTAATATGAGATGTGAAACTTGTGTCTCCAAGCAGATACATTTTAATATAATTAGTCCCAGCCCTGGGCTGCAGCTTTCCCAGGGAATGCTGTGGGACACAGTGCCAAAGGCCTTGCAATTAAGCATGGTCTGGTTACAGCAGTCACACAAAAGAGTGCAGAGGCACAAGCTGCTGGTGCTTGCACTTCACTCTGCCCATTTTGTTGATGATTTCCACCCCAAGTGTTCAGTTCCCCAGTGCAGCTGTCTCGGTACCAAATGGACGTTTCCTGGCAGCACCAGCTGCCTTCAGTCTAGGGACTGGTCCTGCACTGAGGCAGGGGCTGGGCACACCCTCCTGTTCTCTGACAAGCCAAGGGCATCACAAGTTTCAGCAGCAAGAGCTGGTGGCATTGTGACTTGCCCCTTAAGTCTCCTGCAGCTCCTCTGGCAGAGCCTGCAGACAAACGTTTGTGATTCAATGTGCAGGACAGCAAGGGAATTGACAGCTGAAGTGCAGGGAATGCAGCAAACAGCACCTGGAATAATGGATGTAATGCTCAAAGTACATTCTTTCTTCACTAGATACATATTGAACTTAGGCTTTGGTTCCCGCCCAGCAAGTTACTATCAGCACAAACTCTATAAAATACACAACCAATAGTTTAGGACTGGGGCTTGAGCTGCTGAGTTCTCTACAGACACAGCATCACAGCTTTTGTCCCCAAAAATTTAAATAAGGTTCATTTTCCTTTGCACATCACAGCCAGCCTACTCAGTCTTTGCTTTCTCATTCCAATGTGTTTATTGGGATGGGGAAGGAAGAGATGTTACCATGGATGTTTCATAAACCAGCAAACACCATATTTGGATGACTCAAGGCCAGTGCTTACCCTGTGAGATGTGCCTCCCACAGTGGTGGTGCCAGTGGAAGGGTGAGGAACATGAAGGGTCAGGTTCCTGCTCCTACCTGGTTTCAGAGGGTTTCTTCTCAACTCTGTTCAGTAGCTGCATTTCACAGCTCCGGTTTGGAGCAGACTCCCCTCTGGGCTAATCCTTTCCAGCTCTGCAGGGACGTAATCACACTCACTCTTCCTAAGAAGAGGACTAGTCTTGATCCCAGAGGCCACCAACACCTCCTGCTCTCCACAGGCGTTTGTTCCCCCTCTGAGTGCAGAGCTGCTGCTTTCCAGCACTTAGCACAGACTCCCCAGCTCCATTTTCAGAGCTGTACCAGCCAAAACTACTTTTCTAAAGCACCTTAAATTGAAAACAGGAAGTGAACTTCTCACTTAACTGCCTACCTAATGTGGAGAGAGGTGGACCCAGGGGAGATGTAAGTCTCCTTGCATTAGGTTCAAACAACAGTGTCTCGCAATTCTGGCTGAGCACCAGAAACCCTTGCACACCTAAAGCCAGTCCCAAAAGGACAGCATGGCAATGAACACACACATCTGTACTCATTGCAGAGAAAAGCAGTGAGGTGGTTCAGAGCAAGACTAATAACAAACATTATTGATGGGAGTTCCTGAACCAGTCCCTGGATAGCTTCCAGTGTAATGAGATGACTGCCTGAGAAGTGCTCCAGAAGCTTGGCAAAGGATTTACGCCTCACTACAGCTGACTGTTCTGGAGGGCTGCAAAGGGGGATTTGCTCAGACCCCAGTAAATGAAGGGAAGAGTCTCCACATCCAGTTCTGCCCTGCTTGCTTTGGCTCCACAACTTTAAAGCTCAGGCTTTGGCAATGGAGGATTGGCAAATTGTACCATTTTCTTGTACCAAGAAAATCTAACTGGTGTAATCTGCCTCCCTGCTTTGTGAGGAGAACAATAAATCTTGTATTTTCATGTTCTGACCATGCACTGACCTAATGCCTAGAACTTTCTGGGAGGTGTCCAGCTGGATCTGTTGCTGTGTGCCAAGGATCTGTCACTGCTGCTAATCTCCTGTTCATGAATGGCTCCCTTGGCTGGCAGATGAATCACCGGTGGGTAACGTCATCAGACATCACTCACAACGAGCTCACCCTTGCAGTGAACAATCCACAGTCTGCAACACTTCATGGCAAGTGGAAGCTTCTTCAGGTGCTGAGGATGAATCCAACAGTTCCATAGACCTGTGAGGTCCAGGCACAATTTCAGTGACAAAAGCCCCTTTGCCTGTCACTGTCTGTGCTGCTGGCTCAGGGGAACCCTGCTGCCATGCACCTGTGCAGACTTTTTGCAGAACACTTGACCGTCAGGAAACCTAAGGGTGTGAGGAGAAGCTGGGCTGAGGTGAGCAGAAAACCAGGCTGTGTGCATCCCTTAGTGCACGGATTTCCTCTGTTGTAAAAGTCCTGTGCAAACTTGTAGCATTTGTAGGGACCACTAGCAAACCTTCTCCTGAGCCAAACTCCAACCCACCCACCGTTTCAGCTACACCAGCGGTGGGCACCTGTGGTCTCTCTTGGTGGTTCTGCTAAAATTAGAGCCCAGTCAGCTGCAGCAGGAAGCACCTGGCATCCCTTCTCCCACACCACAGCTCTCTAACCCTTAGCTCCCCTTCTCTGCTCACTCACCATGAGTGTGGGCTGTGTTCATTCCTGAAACACAGTTTTCTGATCAGATTTTGAGGAAGAAGGCTTTTAATGCAGTTTCTCCCCATAAAATCCTGCACATCACTCCATGTCACCTCATGTCCTCCCATTTCTTTTTCACCTGATCATGCAGACATCTATCATTGCAAACCATAGCAAAACACCCCATTTTCTTTGGAAGCTTTTCAGTTTTAATAAATAAGTGTTCCAGAAGTGCCAGATCTGTACATCAGGGCTCAGGAGATAGGGATTCTGTTCCTGGGATGATGTTCCAACAGCAGTATTGAAGGACTGGAGCAGTTTCTGGGGCTGGTGGCTGTGGATCTGACTCTCACAGTTGCTGCTGGTTCTTTGTATCATTATAAAACAGATACTGAAACATGAGGAAAACTGCCATAGACCAACACTGTGAATTGCATGCTCATGGATAAGCAGGCATTTAATCCTCTTTAGCCTTTGTGAACAGGTTGGAATCTCATTCAGCTCCAGACAGCCACTGCTGTTACAAGCACCACCTCTGCCTCGCCAGTTCCTCTCGTAGGAAACTGCTTCTGTAGGAGAGCACAGGAACTAAATCAGAACGTAATCCCTCTGGCTTAATACCATCGTGCATGAGTCACCCTGACAAATTAAGTAGCTGGCTGCATTACTGTTCAGCAAGTTAAAGATTCATTTCATGCCTGACAGGAGAAAACATTGCCCAGACTGGCCATCTTCGAGTGGACACGCAGGGAAATGGGATTGGGATGAAATTGAGGATTAGGAGCCTGGGGCTTGCCCATGGTCTCTGGGGGCAGAATACTTTCTCCAGTTGCTGGTTTGCAGTTGGACTTCTGTGGGGCTTCAAGCAGTGCAGTTCTTTCAGTAACACCCCTTCTATGTCACCGCAGGCACAGATTGGAGAAGGGATTTCAGTGAGGGATGGAAATCTCCCCTCTCCCTGCGTGCTTGTTTGCTGGGTGCACTCTTACAGCTCAGCAAAAGATTTCTTCAGACTTTATGCAGAATACTTGAAATAAGAGGAGAAAAAACAGTGAGTCCACTGACTTTTAATCCCTGCTTTCGACTTAACTCTGCTGCCTGCTACATTTTCTTTCCAGGCACAAGTAGTGACATACACTACAAAATGTCCCTGTCTAAGCAGAAAGCCCAGTCGTGCTCCTGGAGGATGATCCCTGATCAGAGCAGGAGGCACCAGGAGCCCATTTCTCAGTTCAGCCTCCCTTGGTGGAGAACTTCTGCTGGCATTTGTTGGTTGGACATTGAAATTTCAGAATATTACTCTGCTACCAAAGGCTACAACAGAGGCATCATTATAATGGCAAAAAGATGCCTGGCAGCAAGATATGGTCAGGTTTCTCAGGCTGGCTTTTTCCATGTCCAGTTACATCCAGCAGAAGCAAATGCCCTAGTGTGCAGAATGGGATCACTGTGCTTTGCGTGGGGGGGGACAAATCTTCAGAAAGATCCAATTTTGGGAGTCTGCCCACTGCTGGTGCCTACAGTCTGGGGAATATAAAACCCTCTAAAACTAGAGCAGCTGGCATGTGGCATAAGGACAATCCCACTGGGCCTCCACAGGAGCTCAAGAGGGTAAAAACCCAGCAAGGAGAGTGATACTGGTCCCAGTCCATCTCCCAGCTGGAGCCTTAGTCCAGTCTGGAGCAGGGTGACCAGCACCAACCAGCACATCATTCACTGTCCCTCAGTGTCATGCAACCCTCCTGCAGCTCTCTGCAATTTTTTTTACTTTGTCTTCCCTGAACAATTATTTATCAGCAGCCTCAGGCTGGTGCTGATGCTGGGGCAGGATGTGTGCTCCTAGCAGAGCAGGCAGGGCTCAGCTGAGGGAATCCCTGCTCAGAGCAGGGGGTTTGGGTGTCTCTGCCCACAGCATGTGGCAGCGCTGGCTCAGGGTGCTCTGGAGCAGTTTGGATTCCTGTGCCTGTTGGAGGAGGGCAGTGCTGGAGCTGGGACATTGGACAAATTTGTCTCCAGGGTCCGTGTTAGCCAGCGTGGCACCACCAGAGATGAGGCACTGCACAGGGTGGGCTCCTCACACTCCACTGCCCATGTGGGCAGCTGTGCTGGTGCTGCCAGCAAGGGCAGAGCTCCAGGACAACTCCCTTTGGCTTAAACCAAATCCTCCCACCCCTAAATAAACACCATAAACCAAATCCTTCCACCCTCCATTTGCACACCAACCATTTACTCTGTTTCTACCTTTGCTGTGGCAGCAGGGCAGGGCCTGACACAGGACCTGTGTTGATGTAGTCTGGCTCATCATCCAGGCTTTCTGTCAGTGGGGCTGTGGGTGGGGATGGCAAGCACTTATCAGTGAGTGGTGTAAAAACACACAATGTAAAAACACACAGACCACTGGCACAGCACGTGTCCTGCCAATATTTAGTCTTTGCTGCTGACATGTTTTCGTGCCTGGGCTAAGAAAACTCAGACCAGCGTCAAGGTCTCCTTGAAGAGGCTTCAAAATGATCACAGCAAATTTGCAAACACTCTGGGCAGCTCTTCAGAGCCAAAAAAGATTTAATCTGGAGTGTGCAAACAGGAATAACTTTGCTTAGACAACTTTCACACCAGAGCTCTTAAATATATATGTGTTCACTCCCCACTGTTCCCCAGGCCAGAACTACCCTCATCCTCACAGGAAGCCACATGTTAAATGAAACTGTGGTTAAAAGGTCAGCTTGAGAAATAGGGCCCCTGACTACAGCAGGAGAGTCAAGGGCTGACCCACTGGGTGTGTGCACAAAGTTCTGTGTCACAGGGGATTTCACAGCTGTGCCTGCTCTGGGGCAGCCTCAAATGTAAGAGGATATAAGACCTGAAGAGCAACATTTTTCTGTAGCATCCCCTGGTGAGGGTTTAGCCACAGCCACCCAAAAGGTGGCCTTTGGAGTATGACAAACAGCACATTCCAACAGCATTCAGTTACAGGAGCGTGTTACAATTTGCACATTGCCTTGGATATTTATCATGGACAGTTGGGGGAAAAATTAACTCAAGACAAGGGTGATGGCTGCATTGCCCTTGCATGGTCTACACTGGCCCAGGTGCTCCAGGCACTCTGCCCATAAGCCCCATCCCCAAACAGCAAACAACAGCTGAGAACCTACCTTGCCCTTGCTGGAGTTTCCATGTGAGTATTGTCATGCTGTTCTCATAGTCTACAGCATCATCTGTGACAAGGAAGAGTTTGGACAGGACAATACTGAACAGCAAATGGACAAAAAGGGGCCTTTGTGAACCCCCCCTGCCCCCGACTGCGCCGTGCACGTGGCTGTTTCCAGCCAGCACAGATCTGCTGATGCTGCCTCATCATTTTCCAGCCCTGGCCACGTGCCTGGATCTCAGCAGGCATGGATGGGGATCAGACAGGTCCCTGCTGCTCCTGCCTCCTCTAAGCACTGCACAAAGCCAGGCAGGAGCAGGGCAGGCTTCAGCAGTGCAGAAAGCGGGTGTTAACTCACAGAAGGAAACAAAACTGACTTTCTATTTTGATTGCAGCATCCCAGGACTGATGCTGGAAGCCCTGAAGGGACACTGTGGTCCAGTGTCACCCTCCAGAAGCTTCCTGGCTGCAGCCTTCTTCTGCTGGATTTGGTGAGAAACCTGAGCTAGGGGCTAGAACCATAATCATCCTGGCTAAAACAACACTAAAAACCTAAAGATGCAGACCTCAAAGCTCCTGAATTGCTGCAGAAACCACCAAGTCAAAGGCACCAGGGTGGAGGTATCACCATGTGCATTTTCCTGCAGAAAGGGAAATGTTCCAGGCCTGCTGTGTGCCTGCAGCAGCCCCTGTGTGCCAGCTCCATGGCACAGAGCTGGCAGGAAGAGCTGAGCTGTGAACAAGCAGGTTTCTCTTGGCTGAGCAGGTCACCATCCTTCTCTGCACTTTGTGTGACACACATGACCCGTGACAGCAGCACCCTTACCTGAATCAGAGCCCTGAGACACTCCAATGGTGACATTTTCATAGGAACAGGAATCCTCATCTTTCTCTGATGGAGAGAAGAAAGAAGAGTGACAAGGAACCTGTGGAAGTGTAAGTGACCTGGGAAGATCCCCCAGCACCTGCAGGAAGGGGCTGTTTCCCACAGTGAAATGTAGATTTACTAAAAAATTGTTAGTCTTAGTGACAGCCCGTGGTGACCAAGGGAGGGAATCGGGTGCTCACTCCCACAGGAGCACAATCACCAATGGTTTTGGGCTGTCCTGTTTACAGGCAACAGATGGACTGATGGGGGCTTGGACATCCCTCAAATCCCACAGCTCTGCTGCACCCTTTGAATGAATGTGTCCCCTGGACCCCACTTGCTTCAGGCCACAGACAGAGCTCAGCAAGAGCAGTCTCACGAGCTCCCTGGAGCCCAGGGACAGCCAGGCTGGATGAAGGAACCCACCTCGCTTGCCTGGAGACCCAGCACGGGGTGGACTGAAGAGCCTGCTGCAGTTGTAGTAGTGATCCAGAGACACGGGCTCCCTGTGAGAAGAGCAGCACTGTCAGCTCCTGCTGCCCTCGCAGGCTCCCCAGGCTGGGCTGTGGCAGCACCAGGACAGCACTGGCAGCAGCACAGGGTACTCACACATAGGCAGTTTCTTCTTGCAGGCAGTTCTCTGTAAGAACAAGGGTTTGCTGTCAGCACCCCACCATGGCATCGACCTGAACAGCCATCCCTGGGCACAGCTGGACAAACCCCCAGCACAGCCACAGCCCCACAGCCTGTCCACAGCAGAGCAGGGTGGCTGGGGCACAGGGAGGTGGCCCTGATCCACCCCAGGTGCTGGGAAAACATCACCTCTCATGGACACATCCCGCCAGCTGGCAGGAGATGGGGAATATGCTCCCTGGCTTGGGAAAGGAGAGCACAGCCCCACACACCACTAATCCTCTTAGGGCAAGCACCAGCTCACACTGCCCCGGGAGGGAGCAGCGGGCTCGGGAGCATCCGTCCCCCTCCGCTCTGCCCCTTAATCAGATCAGTGTGTGTCTCACAAAGCAATCCCTAAACTGACCGAGCCAGAGCTCTGCCAGCTGCACTGCTGGCTGCCTGTGTGCTCCCTGCCAGCTCCCATCCCCTGGAAAAAAATGTGCTCCCTGCCAGCTCCCATCCCCTGCCAGCTCCCATCCCCTCAGCAGCCTTCCTTCCCAGACCCCCAGACACATGGCTGCAGCATTTACCTGCCAGGAAATTCTGGTACCTGGGCTCTTCTCTGCTCCCTGGGGACAAGAGAGGGACACATTACACATGAACTGAAGCTGAGTAATGGGAGCAGTTTGACAATGGAGGGAAGCACCAAGTATTTCAGCAGCAGCAGCTCTATCCCCCTCAGCTCTGGGGTCAGGGGACACGGCTGCAAGGTTGGACACTCCAGGGTACAGGAATAGGACAGCCAGGGGTGATATTTTAAACAATCTGTGCCTGTGGCTGTAACCAGGACTGGTCAGGCACAGCAGGATGAGCACTGGGCTTTGAACTCAGACCCAGGACAGACCCAAATTAAGATGGACGTGGACCTGTTGGAGCAAGTCCAGAGGAGTGCACAAAGATGTTCCAAGGGCTGAGCCCTCTGCTCTGGAGCCAGCCTGGGAAAGCTGGGGCTGCTCAGCCTGGAAAAGAGAAGGCTCTGGGGAGACCTTAGAGCCCCTTCTAAAGGGGAGAGGGACTTTGGACAAGGGCTGAGAGTGACAGAACAAGAGAGAATGGCTTCCCATGACAGAGGGCAGGGTTAGGGAGGATATTGGGAAGAGGTTTTTCCCTGTGAGGGTGTGAGGCCCTGGCACAGGCTGCACAGAGCAGCCGTGGCTGCCCCATCCCTGCAAGTGCCCAAGACCAGGGTAGACAGAGCTTGGAGCAGCCTGACCCAGGGGAAGGTGTCCCTGCCCATGGCAGGGGGTGGAAAGAGTTGGGCTTTAAGGTCCCTTCCACATCCAACAGCTCTGTGGTTCATTGCATCTGTGCCTGTCCCAGGAAGCTGCTCACCATATCCAGGGTGATGGGAAGCACTGAGCTCTTCGGTGGCTTTACTGAAAGAGAGAAAAGAGACCTAAAACCCCAGGTCTGAGCAAACCCTACCAGCAGTTACACTCCATCAGAAGGACCATCCACGAAACCTCCCTGCGAGGTCATCAAGTACACACATGGAGCAAGGGGAGATTAAGAATTTGGGGTAAAAATCCCAAGATGGGAATATCTATGTTTGAATATTGCAGGAGAGTTACAATGGCTGTGTAGTTACTGGGGGTTTGGGTGATGGGGAGAAGGGGATTTATCACACCAAACTGCTTATAAGTGAATAATGGCCATTTCTTTTCCATGATGCATCTGTTATGTAGAGCCACACCTCGCTCTCCTGGGTTTGATTTAATCAGTTGCCAGAAGAACGCAGTCATACTGAACAAAATCCAGAAAATGTCTAAATATACTATTGACCATCAACAAGTGAAGCAACCCAATCAAATTGAAGATGTCCCTGCTCCTCACCAGGGGGTTGGACTAGATGACCTTGAAAGGTCCCTTGCAGCCCAAACTATTCTTTGACTCTAAATACAGCCCAAGCCATATCTACAGGGCCCAGAATGCAATCCCAAATGTTCATCTGTGTTGGGTGAACTTCATCCAACCTTGGCTCTAGAGCTAGATTTTATTTGGGTTTTTTCCTACCTTGCTATTGAGAAGTTTTCAGGTTCCTTACTTTTTTCCAGCCTTCGGGTTGCAACTGGCAACAGCAACAAAATTACAGTGTTAGTTATTGCAGCAGCAGCAGATGTGTCAAAGAGCACAGAACATCCACCAGAGAGGAGCCCTTGGGACTGGCAAGCATTTTCCTAATGCATCCTAAAATAGCTTCCAGATTGTTCCTTGGGTGTTCAAAAATGGTCAAAACAAGGAACAACTAGAGGAAGAGCTGGTGTCCGTGCAGCTTGCGCTGGAGGAGGCCACAATCCCAGCTGCTGTCACCTGCTGTCCCCCAGACCCGCGTGACTGGGGCCACTGCCCTCCCTCCACACTGCGAGGGACAGCGCAGAGCCTGGATCAGGCTGGGATGAAAGACTTGCAGAGGGGCCTGGAGCCAGCAGAGCCCTCGGCAGGCAGGGCAGGGCAGGGGACACACGGCACACGGGCTGGCAGCGCTCGTGTGACACAACACGCAGGGGCTCAGCGCTGAACCCAGCCTGCTGCAGGAAGCACTGAGGGGGATGATGAGCGAGTCACTCCTGTCACCCACACCTTCACTCTCTCAGGGTGCCCTGCGTGGTTCCAAGAGCCCCAGCAGCTGAGGCGTCACTTTTCAGCGACAACACTTTAGTGAATTATTCTCAACGCAAAGGGCATTTTGTCCCTTAGAGCTCAGAGTTCACATACCTAGAAGCATCTAAGGTGGCTTGGACAATCCAGGCCTCACCATTTCATGGCCTGGCTTCGAGGTGACCCTTTGAACATTACTTTCCCCCTGTTCTATGCACGCAGGGCCCTCACCACGGGGCAGGAGCCGAATGCAATATTCATACTCACTGGTATGGGATCGAATCACCTCAAATCTCTGCTGGCTTTCGAGCCTGGAAAAAACAGCAGTACAACCTCAGCTGAATTTTGGGGCTTATAACAAGGAAAACAGATACAAGAGATCTATTTGGTGAGTGGAAGGCAGAGAGCACCCTGCTGGGCTCTGTGAGATGCCAAGCTGCACTGCTCAGCACGTCATGCAGGGCCTGTATGAGCTGGGAGCATCTTCCTGGACTCTTCTTTGGTCCTTTAAAGACAAGATGTGCTTTTGGACCACTGGTAGAGCAGCCAACATCAGCAAGGGTAGGATCCAGGGATGAGAAAACATCATTTAGGATAATTCTCATTTTGATGCTTTAGCCACCAAAGGCTAGAAGAACCTTTTTACCCACAAAAAGATAGATGTGAAATGGCTTCAAACCCCACTGCTTCACCTCCACTGCTGCCTCTGCCCATTCCATCATCCCTTAATATCAACATGAATAAAATAACATGACCAATGATAACCTATGCCCAGGAACCTCTTTACTTTTCAGTTAATAGGAGAGCTGCTTTTCGGAGCACATTAGAACCCAACATCTTGTTCACTGCAGGTATTTCTACACAGGTGCTTATTAATTCCAACTTTGGGAACCCTTTCCCCCTTTTCCATTGGGCTTGCCCCATACCCAGCTGGGCTTCATGGCCCAAGGCTATCAAAAACCCAAACACAGAGTCAAACCGCTTTGCCTGCAAACCACTCCTCCAGAAGGAGCAGACAACACCACAAACCTGAGCCCAAACCACCTAATCCAGGTATAAATTTCAAGAAGTTGGGACAATTCAGCAAGAGTCTGTGAGGGATGGAGCCTGTGGGGGACAGAGCCTTCAGTGGCTGCTCCATCAGTCTACAATGGATCACTCTGGAGCCTTTCCCCACAGAAACAAAACCCCAACCCCCTGGAAGCCTTTGCAGAGCCACATTGCATCTCCTGTAACAGAGCTTACAACCCAACTTTTCTTTTTTTAACGTCATTTACTGTGGTTTGTCTGTTGCTGAAGGAAATAAGGGGCAGTGCATGTGTGTACACTGCATTTCCTTCATTTCTTGTGCTGCAGGTCAGTGGTTGCTCTGCTACACGGTCCAAGGGCAGGGGCTTCTTGATGGAGTAAATAATCTTTCCATCTCCTCTCAGAGCACAACAGAAGAGGATAACAACTAATTTTTCCAACTAGTTAATGATTCAACTTCACAGTCAACTTCAGTTTCAGTTTGGATTATTCTCTGTGAAGGCATTGCCCCTTCAACAGCACCTTGGCCTGGGGCACACTGCCTTGCCTCCCATCCTGGCATTATTTTATTTTATTTTATCCCATATTTCAGCTGGGGTCTGGCTCTGAGGCTCACCCTAGCTGAGTTGTTTGGGGGAGAAACACAATTGGGAAAGACAACTTACTGGCTCCTCCGCTGGTTCAGCTGTGTCTCACGTTTGGTAGCTGGAAGACAAGGGAACAAAAAGCTCTTAGAAAGGATAATTTGGGAGTTAGAGATCATAAAGGCCAATAAAATCATTCACAAAACTTCTTCAGCATGTCAGGACAGCGGAGGCAGTGAGCAGCAGCTGCAGTAGGGCTTTGATGAAATATTTTGAAACGATGTTTGCTTTGTGGTTTTTGTCTCAACCTCCACAAAGCAAGGCAGCCAGTCCTGCCCCCAAACCCCAAAGTGCAGCCTCTCCCCCATTGAAACCAATGCTCAGGGAGGGGCTCAAACCCCACTGGGTGCTCACCCTCCTCTCTGTATGAATTTATCCTGAGATTCCCCTTGCCTCCCTTCTGTCCCAGACCCTCTGCAGGATTTGTGTAACTGCAGCTCATCCTCCCAGGTGGAGTCCCAAAACCACCCACCACGACGGCCATGTAGAGGGATCTCAGTGTTACATCTGCCCCAGGGAAGGGGGGCTGCACTTTTGGGCGTTCCTTCTGTCTTGGCTCTCTGGCAGAGCCTCATCCATGCTCAAGCTGTGGGAGCATCCCCAAAGATGCCCATGATCCTGCTGGGGAGAAGGTGACAGCACTGCCCTGGAGAGATGCACCGTAGGCTCTGGGCACTGCTCAGAGCCCAGGGTGAGGGAAGAATCTTCCCCCACGGTGCCCTGCAGCACGATGTTAATTTGTCCCAGTTCTGTCCCCCCCGTTGGGCCTTCCCTGCCCCTTTTTCCCTATATGTTGATGTTCTAGAGAGTTCTCCCTTCCCTGTGTTCCCATTGGTTGGTGTAACTCCGCCCATCCACCCTGGCATTCCCTATTAGTCCCTTCCCTGTATTTATACCCTGGATCCTCCTTAGTCTGTGTCTTTGGGCCCTGGACCCCTTCAGTGTTAGACCCAAATAAACTCTCTGTGGAACTCCATGCCTGGACCTGCCCGTGCCTTCACTGTTGAGTTGCTTTGTGTGTCTGTCTCTCTGTCTATGTGTGTGTCTGTCTGTCTGTGTGCTGTGCTCTCCTGGCTCCCATCCCTTGGCACAGGACGCTCTCGGTGAAGGTTGTGCCCAGCACCACCACAGACCACAGCCCATCCCCACAAGGGCGAAGCTGGTACCCAGCTGAGTAGAGCCAAACCCACAGGGTGGGGGGGACATTCCAAGAGGGAATTCCAGCCAGGTGGAATTCCCAGCACTTACCTGAGAGCTGGCACCTGATGCAGAGGCTGACGGCCGCCCCGAGCAGCATCAGCGCCACGGCCGCCCACAGCTCCAGCTGCACCATGGCCCAGCCAAATCCAGCCTGAAACACAGCCAGGGGACCCTGTCAGCTGTGGGGGCCATCCCTCAGAGAGCCTTTAGCCCCAAAAACCAGGTGCTGTTTGCCCTCCCAGCCCCATGGAGCTGGGAGGCTGCTGAGGATGCAGAAGGGACTTTGGGCTTGCAGCCAGGGCAGCAGAGGCAATGCCCTTTCCTGACTGCTCTGAATCACTCACTGCCAGTCCCCAAACCCACCCTGCTGCCATCAAATCTGTCAGCAGACAGTAATCTTCTAATATCCAGAAGAGAGGGCAAAAGGGAGGCACTTGGCAGTATTTAAACAGTCAAGACCTTTGCACAACATGTTCTGGCTCAGAGTGACTCCCAGGGGGTTATTCCCCACACCTTTTTCTGCCTTTTTCTGCATTGAGCTGGCTCATCCACTGGCTCTTCCCTTCTTTCCATGACAAGTTTTTTTCACAAACAGCAGCTAACATTTTTTAATAATCAGCACGATTTGGTTTCAACTTCTTCCTTTAAAATACAAACCATCCTACAAATATCACAGCAAGCAGCCTGCTGGCACTGAGATGGATCATTTACCCATTCCTATTCCCCAGGGTCTGATTTTCTTTAGTTACAGATTGTTTTAATTTATTTTTGGTTTTAATCAACTTTTTTCCCTAGGGATGGAGACACTTCAATATGCCAAAGGCCAGAACATCATCACTGTGGCTGGCAGGAAGCTTTCCTGCTGCCTACCTTCAGCCTCTCTTATTACAACTTTAGCCTGTATTAAATTGGTGAATGGAGGAGGAAAGATATATTATAGCAATTGATAATGAAAATAATTCAAAATAACAAAACAAATGCCAGTAGCAGGCAATAGAAAGAAGCAGCTTGATTCTGCCCTGCTCAGCATCTTCTGCCTCTGCTTGATTAAAGTGGAATAAACAACATTTCTCTGCCCAAACTTTGCAGAAGTTTGGAAGTTGCTCTGACAGCCCATTCACGTCGGAGAAAACCCAAATCCTCCCCTGGCAGCTGAGCCTGTGGGGGCTGAGCAACTTCCTGCTGTCCCTGCAGGCACTTGGAGCAGCAGCTGAGCGTGCTGGTGGAGCTTTGTGCTCCAGTTTGCCATTGAATCTCAGCCCTGTGCCACAATCCCAGTTATCAGGGCAGGGTGAAAATAATCATGGTGTAAATCAGCATGGGGCAGGGAAAGGGGAGGAAGGAAAGCCCCTCATTTCCACTCAGACAGAGCCTGAGCAAAGCCAGCAGCAGTGGTGAAGGGGTTTGGTGTCAGCATCTCCCAGTGGCTCCCAAACTCCCTGTGGCTGTCCAGCAGTGACCTCACCCTTTGATGGGAACAAACTGGGCTTATTCCTCTTGTGCTCCAGGCTCCCTGGGCTCTCCAGGACCTGGCAGCTACCAGCACTCACTCCACCATGGCTTTGCCTTTCACAGGCCCCCAGAGGCCTCTCTTTCCCTGCACAGTCTTTTTGCAGCACTTTCTGAAGAAGATGAGATCAGTTATTCTAAATTTAATTGTCCAGACCTCCATGCACCCACCCCAGAGTGGAGGACCAGAACCCAAAAGAGCCAAGTCAAAACCATGTGGTTTCTCCCATCATTTTTCCTTTGCTCAGCATCCCCCATGGAAATCATGAGCTGTGGATCATCTCTAAAGCATCTCCAAGAGGCAGCTGAGGGAAGTTGGTCCAGTGCTGGTGACTAAAATACAAAGGGCTGTGATGCTGCTGCTTTGTGGGTTTCCTGGCTTTTTTTTCTCTTTTTCTTCTTCTTTTTTTTCTTCTTTTTTTTTTTTTTCTTTAAAGTGAAGGCAAGGCAGAGCTGAAGACACCTGACAACACTGACCTAGTTTGTCCCTTTGCCCAGCAGGCCTCCTGCTCCCTTCCAGAGCCAGTTTTATTTTGGTCACGGGCAGTGAGGCAGCAAAACCTGTCTGCTCCTGAGCCCCACTCACCAGGGACACCACAAGGAGTTATTTGAGGGGCTGATGAACAGGACATGGTGTGTCCCACCCCATCACAGCTTTTTGCCCCAAGAAAGCCCCCAAGTCACACACACACATCAGCCTGGAGATCATCTGTGCTCCCTAAATACCCAGGTCCATGGAAAATCCTTTCTTTTGGTACAAGCCCTGCTCTGGTAAGGAGCTGACAGGAGGAGGTGATGAACAGATTTATGACAAGCAGAAGGCTGGAAGCACTTACTCACGGCTAGCAGGATATAAATAAAATATTTGGAAGGCTGAATGTGCTTCCCTGTGCTCTGCCTCGGGGAGCTGGAGAGCAGAACAAAGAGCCTGGAGCCATGGAGGTCTCTGCACAGGGGGATGGATGTGTGGGGTCATGGATGGCCAGCCCTGCTTCCAAGATGCTAAACCCAAACTCGGGGAGAAAACAGGTTCCCAGCTGGTTTGGGAGGGACACTGGGGCTGTGTCACAATGCCCTGCTCTCTTCACACACTGCTCTCTTCTCCTTTTGCCTGTTTTTCCCCTTTTTGTGCTGAGGAAGCCAGTGGGACCAGGGCACAGGAGCAGCAGGAGCCCACAAATCCCTCAGGAGCAGCTGCTCCAGACAAGCAATTCCTGGGAGAGCAACGCTGGAGGCTGGGTACAGCTGTGCTCTCCCAGCCAGGGCTGCTCCTCCTCTGGCCTCAGGTGTTTTTAGCAGGCAAGGAGACAGGCTTTTTCTCGCTAAAAAAAATTGGGAAAATTAATGGACTCTCAAAATTTATCTACTCTGTGGCAGATCTTGTCCTAATTTAAGGATTCACCCCAGTAACAAGGCTCACTACGAAGATCCAAAGGAAGGAGAGGTGGTTTTATCCAGGAAGATAAAAGGTCTTCTGCTTTTAATTCCACTGAAATGGAGAGTAAGAGGACATGGAACTCACTGTCCATCTGTCCAAGAGCAGCACAACAAAGTGAGAAAAACTTTTGAATTGAAATAAGGCAATTCTGGCTCATAAAATGAGTGGAAATAAGCTGGATATGCACAGGCTAGAAATAAAATTCCTAATGGATGGAAAGCCTGGAAGAACTTCCCAAAAGCATCAGAAGAGGCACAAAGCTCACTAAAAAATCTGCAAGAGCACTTAAAGTGAGTTTTAACTTTTTTGCTGAGAAACCAGGAGCGTGAGGAATGTGTTGATGTCCTCAGCAATGCCTGGTTTTCCAGGAGATAATTTCTGATGAAGCCATTTCAGCCCTTTGCAGACGTCAAGCCCACCCTTGAGTTCACACTGCAAGATAAAGACTAAAATAATGTATTTATATTATGTATTTAATGTATTTATATTATGTATTGTATCAATCAAAAATTGCCCAAAAGGCAAATATAAACTAGTCACTTTCTCTTCCCTGCAGAAAGTTTTGTGGTGTGCACCAGTTTGCAGTAAATTAATTCTAAGTCAGGCTGGTAGGATGAGTCACTGCTATGAAATATGAAGTGGAGAGTGTATTTAAAGACTCACCATATGAAATTCAGCACACTGACTTGTTGAACAGATGCAATATTCAGCTTGAGTCGATGTCTCTAACGTGTCTAAGAAAAGCAACTCCACTTTCTGTTTGCCTGTGTGGCACAGATTGCCACAGAAAGTCCATCAATTCAGAAATTAAAGTCTCAGAGCAAGGAATCTCTCCTGGGGCTGGAATGACTTCAATGACCAGCACTGAGCCTTCAGCAAAGCTCCTTCCCAGAGGTCTGCACATCTCATTTCCCACCAGATTTGTGCCAGGGTCAGGCTTTTTAGGAAGGCTGCTGCCGTGGAGTTCAAGCCTGGGGTTTTACAGCTATTCAGGCAGATCAGGCTTTCATGCCAATAGATGCATTTCAGTAGAACTTACGATAAAAGGGGAAAGTTAGAATTGATAAACCAACTTCCACATAGATTATAACTTTGGAAAATGCTTTTTAAAAACCTTGGGTGGAAAATACGGTGTGAAACCCCAATCACAGCAGGCATGGCAGCACAAGAAGGTAACTCACAGACATATCCTGTATTTGTAACTGCTCCAGGCAGCACTGACTGCTCCCAGCATCATTCACTTCCACTGGGAGCCCAGGGGATGCATGTTAGCAATACAGGCAACCCCTGTGTAACTAGGGACTCCAGAACCACGAAAATGAGCCAATCTCACACAAGATTATCCCAAAATTATCCTCTTCTGCTAAATTATCTGCCTCATGGCCCATCTTACACCGAACATTGTTCACACAAGAGAAAACTGATGCAAACCCAAATCTCTTTCAATCTAGAATTTGCTATTTCGAGCACTTACATGCAGTGAAATAAATACATTCATATCCGTGATGCCAGTCAGCTCTGAAATCAATGGAAAACCCAGGAAGTGTCGTTTGAATCAGCTATTTTTAAGGACTGGGCTTTGGAGGGGGAGCAGCGTGGGCTGCAGCAGTCCCAGAAGCTGCAGGCAGGAGCCAGAGGAAGGTCCACGCAGGGATGAGGGAAGCTCAGCACAGGCTGAATCTTCCAGAGTATTTTAGAAGATGTGAATGCAGAAATAATGTAATTAAACCCACGCTTCCATCAGCAGATGGACGAGGAGATGCAAAGAGCAGTGCTGTGAAACAGCCAATCCAGGTTGTGTGGGATGGGCTCCTCTCAGGTCCAGAGGGCTCCAAATGCTCCTGGGAAGAGAGTTGGAAATTCCTCCCTTGGAGCTGGTGATGGCCAGGAGCAGCAGCGAGGAGGGGACATCCACCACGTTGCTTTTCAGAGAGGTTTCACAGGGATGACCTTGAACCTCTTGAAAGGCTCACCAGGGTCTAAAGTGGGATCTCTGAGCCCCCTGGGACACCCCACTGTCCCCACAGGAGCCCCAAACGCCTCCGGGCGCTTTCCTTGCCCACACCTGCTCCCTCGCCCACCTTACCCGCAGCTCAGCCGCTGTCCCCGGAGTGTCCCAGCTCCTCCAGCTCCTCCAGCTCCTCCAGCTCCTCCAGCTCCTCCGGCTGCCGGGGCTGGAGCTGGTCCCCGCAGTTCTCGTTGCAGTTGCAGTTTCCTGTCCCCTGTGAATCACCAACCCCAACATCCGCTGCCCGGCCGGGCGGCCCCGACACACGACGCCTGCACAAACCCACTGGGGTCACTTTTGTCCCCTGGGGAGAGGAGGAGGCTTGGCCAGCGTGGCACCACACGCAGCACTGAGCTCACTTCCCTTGGGGTTCAGATGCTGCTGGTGCCCCACAAAGGTTCAGGTTCCTTTTAGCAAAGAGCCTGAACAGGAATAACACTGGAAGCGGCAGGTGCTGCCAGGAAAAGCTCAAAGCTCAAAGCAAACTGCAATTCCTCCCTGGGGTTTGTGGAAAAGATGGGAACAAGTTACAAAGGCAGCAAACAGCCTGAGATCGCTACTGCTAATGGCCAAAGCTGCAGCTCCTGTCCAGGGCTGTAAGAATAAAACCAGCTCTTATGCGTCAGCATAATTGGCACAATTTCACTGCACTCTCAAATAAAGTAATTCCTCAAATTTTTTTGGTGCTTGAGTGGAATAAGGAGGGCTCATGAATTCCCTATTGAGAATTTCTGTATTGGCTTAAAGCCCTGTCACAGTCCCTGAAAGAGGGATCCTGCTCCAGCACTGGGGAAGTCTGCACACACACATCACTGTGCAGCTGTGCAATAGTACAAGAGCCATGGGGCACACGAGTTACAACCACAAACAAAACGTTTCATGCTGCTCTCACTAAGGCTCCACAAAGCCTCTCTTACATGTAAATTGTTCAGTAAAGGGAAATTTTGTTATATTTAAATTAGGGCAGCCACCTACACCCAGCTCTCTGTGCAAGAAGGTGACTCTTCGTCATAAAAATTATTAAGGAGCCAACTGGTTACAATTTTTACAACTCTGGGATGAAATCTGGCTATCAGACTTTCAGAAGAAACGTTACTTCAGTAAGATAATTATCCACCATGACATGCAAATAGACTTTCTTTCTTCCAATTCTAACCTGAGATGCAAAAATAATGCACCTTCCAGAGCCATTCCCAGACAAAATGCAGGTGCTGAAGCCTATCTTGAAATCAGTATAACGTGAACCAAAGATAAAAAGAGGCAGACTCAGCTTTTAATTTCTCACATGGTTTCTGGGTGGTATCTGTGTAAAGGACATTGCAAAATGTGAAATGTTTTTTTCACTGCCAAAAGAGTTGTTACAAAATTGGCATTCCTAGCAGAGGTCTTAGCAATTATAGTTTATTAACAGATTTCTAGCAGGGTTTTTACATGTTCACACATAATCTGACAACAGAAGTTTTGCAAAAGAGTTCTTTAGAGCAGAACTGATACTCAAAATATGCTGGAGACATTTAAAGTTCATCTTTTGTACCCAAAATCAATTTCATCAGGAACAGCCACTGCTAAAAGGGTGCCATGTATTTGTTCACAGGTTCTCTGGAGGGTCTCAGCTTCAAGTGAGACTCAGTGCTGTGGTGTGGCTTGGGCTGCTCCTTGTGTTAGTCCCCAGACTGTCCCCCGAGGGACCCCTCAGCCCCTCCAGGGCAGGCAGGAGCTGCTCCTGTGCCCAAGGAGTGGCACAGCAGGGTCACCCCAGTGTGGTGTAACAGTGATGCCCTTCCAAGGCATCGGTCCCCTGGAGAGGCCAGCCTCCCTGAGTGGAGGGTAATTAGTGCAGCAGCACACACCTCTGTGTGGATCCTCTCTCCCTTCTTCACGTTTCTCCTGAGAAGGGCTGCATGAAAAGGTTTGGGATGAGCCCTCACTCCGAGCACTTCCCAGCACAGCCACAGTTCTGCTCTTCATGAGGCCAGACCAACTCTCCTCCAACACACACAAAATGACCCCTCAGGTCAAACCCAGCTTGGGAAATGAGCTCTACCCTCCTGAAACCCCTCTGCCTCTTCGAGACCTGCTGCTAGAAACAATTTCTGATTTGACAAAAGGAGGAGTATGTTTTTATCTACTGCAATAAATTACAGAAAACCCACATTGTAATTTCACTGTTTGTGTTTTTTTCAAAGCTCATCCATTTCAACCTGGGTTTGTATTCCCCTATAACAAAATTCCTACTCCTTCAGGAAGGTTCACCAGTTAACCTAATTCGCTTTTTCACCTTTTGATACAAAGCTGACAGGCTGCAAAGAGATCTCTTGGGTCCAGAAAACTCATTAGAACCCATCTTCTACTGGGCTCAGCTTACCTGGGCCCTGGGAAGCCAAATGCCCTGAGGGCTGATTTACATTCTTTCAAATAAAGGTGGGGGCTGCTCAAAGACCAGCTGACTTTGCTTGAATCAGGTGCTGTGGCTAACACTGATCAAAAATCAGTAGTAAAACAAGGACTGGAAAACAGGGCATCATCTAAACCCCTTCTTCTGCACAAACACACCCAATGAGAGGTTTGAGAAAGCTCCAACATGTTTTTTAAGCTCCAACAGGCTCCAAGCTCACCAGCTCTGCAAGTCCAACATTGCTGTGCACCAGCATCAAGCCCCTCTTGCTTTGGGGCAGAATGAGCTTGTGTCTCATCCCAACCACTAACTGGGATTACAATGCATTCCATTTGTTTAGCAACATTTTCATGGCAGCTCTAACACTTGGAGGAAATTTTCTGATGTGCTGAAGTAGTGCTGGATGGTTTTGTATTCACCTGGAAACTTTTCTCTCTGCTGGAGTGGAATGAGCTTTTCCCCAGGCAAAGGGGAAGTGCTGCCTCCTCCCCTGGCCCAGCTGCACGTTGGCTCTCTCTGAGCTGAAACTGAAAGTGGCTCTGTTCCTGCTGAAGGAAAATAAATGCTGCTACCCAGTGGAAAGTCATCTCACAGCCAGGATGCCTGGGTGCTTCACAAAACTTTGGCCAAGTAGACTTTGCAAAGACTAATCCCAAAAATCCCTCTGGTACAAAGCTTCCTGTTCTTATCCTGCTGAGCTCATCCTTGTGGACACAATAATCCTTAAATTTGAAGACAAAAACCTAGAAGGTTTGAATGCTTTTATTTCAATTTTTATACAGCAATACAAATTATACAGATTTGTTACAGTACAGATTTTGCAGGGGTTTATAGAGGTACTTTGTGAGTTTTTGGTTTATTTAAAAGAAAGAGGCAGATCTCGGGAGCACGGTGACATGAACAAAACAATCTCGTGGTAGGAAGCAAATCCTGACCACAGGGAACACTAACCTGGCTGAAACCTACTGGGCAGAAAGGTGGTGGTAGCATTCCCAGCAATAACATCTCAAAAACATCAACCCTGGGATACTCTAGAGCTTTACACAGGAATTGGTGAGCACACAGGTAAGAGGGTGGGTTGTTCCTGTAACAGTGCTGAAAGTCCTCGAAGCCCTTGGATGTATTTTGCTGCAGAGGGGACAGAAATGAGGGAAGCTGATGTCACACTGAACCTGCTGCTAAGCAGGTGATGGCACGGAACAGAGGAAACCAGAAAATGCTTTAGATTCAGTCACTCAAACAGGTACAGTGAGATGAGGAACAGGATTCCAGATCTAATAATGCTGACACCATGTGCCCACCGAGACACCACCAGAACCTAATGGCTCGTGTCTTGTGTCCACCTTGGGCTCCTGTGAGCACACACAGGAGAACAGCAGAGCTTCCCTGCAGGGCCTAATGCACAGGAGAGGGGCTGAACATATAATGTCATCAAGGTATTGCTATTACTAATGTGCATCAGGCTTGAGAGTCAAGTGTCTGGCACTGAAGGATTAAAGCCTTTCAGCAAGCAGGGTCAAAAATATGATTACACCATCCTAAATGCTTCTATTCAGTTTGGTCTAATACTGCTACAGCAAGTGCTATCACGAACAACAGAATAAATTAGATTATACAAATAAAATGTATGCACCAAATAAAAGATGTCTCTCTGCCACTTTTAATATACTTCGTTCTTGCAGCGGGTAAGAGACATTTAACAGGAGGGAGATGAGAAAATTCCACTCTCAGCTAGAAATCAAACTCTTTTTCAGTCACAGAAACTCCCCTTTCTAAACATTAAAGACAGGCAACACCAACTAAACTGCATCCCGAGAATCCATCCCAGGGAAGCCCTTGAGAAGTACAAAGGTAACTGTATATTCTACACTAGAATATGCTGGAATAGGCAAGCAGTCCCTTTCCTTCAGTCTTTGCACTCCACTGGTAGTGAAAGACAGAAACCATCAGAATGTAAAACACCAACTTAACACAGATTTCAAGATGCTCAGTGTTAACAGCTCCTCTCCCGTGCCTCTGCTGTGAGTGCAAATAGCCACAAGACAGCTTCTGTGCACAGAGAGGGGATGGGGTTGGCACAGAAAACCTGTGACTACGCCTTGGAGCCAACCTGACACACAGAGCCTGTCCAAAACACACCCAGGGGGTTTCCAGCAGTCACTCCAAGCAGATTTGTCCAAAGCAGGCAGCAGGACAAGGGCTGCTCTGCAAGCTGCAGCATGCCAGCACTCTGGTTGAGGAGGCTGCACACATATTCCAAAATTTGCTGGCTTTAGTATTAAATCTTTCCTACAAATAGGAAGGGTTGCAATATTACAGGATTTGCTCTAAAATTCTCACAGTTTTATCATCTCTCCTGAAGACAAGTCAGCAGCAGTACTACAGGTAGCAAATGCTTCTACTAGACCATGTACTAAAGTCAGGATTGAAACTATATCAGTGTTCTTAAGTTAGAAGTATCAGTATCATCCAAAACTGCCTGGGACAGCAAGCTTGGCCACAATCATCAGCCCTGGGACACCTGAGAACTTCAGAAATTCAGTCAGCACTGCAGATTCAGAGCAGACTGGTGAGCAAGTTGCTGCTTTAGGAAGGCCAGCAAGCCACACTTGAGGGCATGAATTTAATGTGACTCTACCATCACCAGCCCATTATTTGAGTGTGTGAACACTCCTCCATCTCTTTCTTCAGCCATCAGAACAACCTTGACAGCCACAAGCACAAAGAGCCCCCTCAGAAGTTGCTCCAGGCTTGCACAGCCCAGTGAGTTG